AAAAAAAAAAAAAATATATATATATATATATATATATATATAGTATTTATTTATCGGCACACAACCAATTTTTTTCCATGGAAAAAAAAAAAAAGCCTGGTACAACATTAGAAATAATCGTCTAAATATGATGTTCAAAGGCACAATGGTGATAGCTTGCTTTTTTGCATGGACTGAACTAACAACCATCTGGTTACCAGTCCCTAGTCTTATCCGTTTATATGTGTTGTGTTTGAATACCTGACTGGACTGTTTCCTGCATCGAGATCCTGTGCTGTCACAGCTCCTATGATGGTGCCTTGTGGCGTGTCCTCATAAACATCCATCGCGTAGGAGGGTTTGCTGAAGACGGGAGGCTCATCCACATCCAGAACGTTTATTTTCACTGTTGCTGTGTCTTTGAACGGGCCAAAATTGTGGAACCGTGGATCCAGGTGTGCATTGGAGGCCTCCACTTTAAATGTATATGCTTTTTTGGTCTCATAGTCCAACGGCTGAGGAAAGAGAAACAGAAAAGTAGAAAATGTTGAATGCATCTGAATTGTAAAGTATGACAAGGCCTCTTGAATTAGACAAAACTAAGGGGTCAAGGTCTGGCTGGTTATTCTATTTATATTATACATGTATTTCTATTTTTGTTTTATTTTGTATATATACTTTTTTTACTTAAAGTTTTGGGTTGGTAAGATTTATTAATGTTTTTGAAAGAAGTCTCTTATGCTCAGCAAAGCTGCATTCATTTGATAAAAATACAGTAAAAACAGTAATAATGTGAAATATAAAAATATATATATATATTAATATATTTTAAATATATTATTCCTTTGATGGCAAATCTGAATTTTCTGCAGTCTTCAGTGTCACATGATCCTTCAGAAATCAATGTAATGTTAATTGTGTGCTCAATAGACATTTCTTATTATCATCAATGTTGGAAGCAGCTGTGCGGTTTAATATTTTTGCGGAAACCGTGATACACTTTATTTCTTTGATGAATAGAAGGCTCAAAAGAGCAGCATTTATTTTAAATTTAAATCATTTATCATATTATAAATGTATTTACTGTCACTTTTGATTGATTTAATGCATCCTTGGTGAATAATAAATTATTAAGTACCTAAATTATTCAGTAAAAATATTAACATTTCAGTCAGCCCCTGCTGGTGGATGTCATAACTACAGCATCAGGTTCAAAAAAGATGCTAACAGACAGCGTTCTCTATATTGGCCATTCATTGAGGTCTTACATTAAAGCTTAATTTATTTATTTGCGTTTTATCTTTTGCATAAATTGCTCGCTTTGATCATTTCGAATGCGGGGCCTTTCTCAGATCTCGAGTGTGTCGATATTGGCCTGTCTGGGGAAGTTTGTCACAATTGCTTTCAGGCATGTCAAACAAACAACACACACTCCAAAAATGATTATCTCACGCTCCCATGTGCATTTTCTCCTGATTTTGCTCCCCTCCCCGTTGATTCAGGCCCCCTTTTCTGTTAAGATTTATCTTTAAATTCTCACTTCGGTTCTTCTAAATCAAAGCTTGCCTGTCGTCAGTATGACAGCCGTAAAATGTGCTTGTGTGGATGATTGTGGTCTTGCACCACTAAATCAAAGCAGCCCATCTAGAGATGTAAACCATACAACGCTATTGTAAAATCTCTCTCTGTCAATCTGTCTCTCTGGGAGATGACGAAAGGGTAAAGGAGACAAAGATCATATATCTGACCTGTATATGGTTTCCATCATGAGCAATTTACTTCTGTATCATCTTCAGATGAAAGCAAACACCACAGGTAGAAATGAATGACACCTGCTGATCCGTAAATACACAGCATAAGCACTCTATATGGATATAACATGTATTTTGCACCAAAGCAAACAGCCATTTAGCTGAGAGAGGAAAAGACGTCAACTTCGTGTGAGTGGCAACTCTGGATCATTTGGGATTGGGAGGTGTCAGATGCCCCCTTGCTGAAGTTTCCACGTCGACTAAATCAAATGGTGCTAATTAGACTCCCAATTAGGTAACAGCGAACCTCCAAAAACTGCAGTTGCTAATTAGCTAAGTTCTTGTTGACATGAAAACAGACGCATTGGTATTACTGAAGTCTTAACTACTTAAATACAGGGAAAAAATAAGCTCACAGTTGCCACAAGTAATTAGGACCCAAGTCATCTTACACAAAATATATTTATCTCATTATTTAAACTAGCCTATGGCCTTCTGTGTCTTACAGAGACGACACTGTTTGGCTTTTTGAGGCCAAGAGGTACATTGATATTAAGGTTGCAAGCTACAGAAAAATGACAGAAAGGCAGTTTGCAGGGAAAATAGCTAGCTTTTTTTAGAAACAAAAGGACACGTGGAGGACTTCGGTCTTCGTTAATATGCATAACGCTAGTAAAACTGTATTTCTATCCAGATGACATTATGCCACGTCCCTCGTTTCAATCAGAATGCATAGCCTTCGTATCTCTAATTTGAAACAAAAGCTATAAATTGCTCTCTGACTGCCATTTCATGTGGTTATTTTCCATCTTGGTTCCCTCAAAGGGATGCCCATATTGAATTATGGCTGGATCTTCACAGTCGCATTGCCTGAGAAAGGCCTGCACCGCCTTATGATTTACTTTCCCTCCATGACACAATGTTTTCATTTATACTCCCCCAGAGTGAGTTTTCAAGGCCATTTAAGCTTGTAAACTATTTGGCCACATAACAGCTTTGCTTCAGTGTAAATTAATACTTAGGAACATGCAAAAATAGAGATATAGAGATACAAAACAGCATCTGCCTCACCTCTGCACCAATGGTGACTTCATAAAAATGTGATTTTTGCTACAATCAGACAATTTCAAACTATCTTCTTTGCTCAGATGATGCATTCCCATATAATCTGATATATATATATATATATATATATATATATATACACAGCTGCCGATTGTCACGATCACCAACTGGAGTGCCCATGAGCTCCACCAGTGGGCACTCCATCCCTGACTTTTGCCATTCACCCTGGACTACATTCCCCATAATCCTTTGCCGGACTCATCATCTATTGCATCACCTGTCACTCATTAGATCTCATCATCAGTTTCACAGCTGTCTCACATTAGAAGGACTTTAAAAGATGCACACACACTCAAACACTTCGCTGGTGATTGTTTAGCCTGTAATGATTCCTAGTTTCTGTTATCCTGCCCGTGTTTTCTTGTTTTGCCTTGGCTTGCCTTGCCTTGGTGTATTTTGGATCTTGGATGGTTTATCTAGTTTTTATGATTGTTTTGCTGCCTGCCCTGACCATTGCCTGTGTACGAATAAAGCCTGCATTTGGATCCTCAACTCCGTTGTCACTACGCCTACTTCTTTACACCGGTATTTTACCGTAAAAATTTAACAGATTTTTTTTACAGTGCAGGTATACACATTTAAAAAAAAGATTGTTCATTTTCTTCCAGGAAAATGGACAAATAAAAATTAATGACACATCTTGGAGTACAGACTTTTGTCCAATCAGATGCTCTCTAGAATGAGAATGTGCCACCACTTGCAACTGACCAGCAAGTAGCAAGTTTTCTTGTTTTTAAAGTGACCCTATTATGCCATTTTTACGTTTCCTAATATTGTTTTGGGAGTCTCCTACAATAGGATTATATGCATGCAAGGTCAAAAAACGTTTTTGTTTTTCTCAAAATATGCATTGAATTTTACCTAATTTTCCAGCGATTCTCAAACGATTCGTTTTAAGCAGTTCAAAGATTCAGTCTCTCTAAACCCCTCCTTTCCATGAGCCTGCTCTGCTCTGATTGGTCAGATGGCCTAGTCTGTTGTGATTGGTCTACAGCGTACAGCATACGGCGTTTCAGAAACGATACTTCTATTTCCATAGTTCTGTATTTTGAACGCTCTATAGAAAATTTAAACAGCTATTATTTATCATACTTACAGGTTGTGATTCAGTGGAGCAGCTGATCCAAATAAACAGGATACTGATCCATCTTTCATCAGCAAGCCTTTTGTTAATCCCATGTTGAACTCCCCGAGATTAGAGAAGCAGTCGTCAGTAGAATTACGTGTTTGTGGGCTGGGTCAAGTTGTTTGTGACCGGCCAACGTAGAACATAGGCACGCTTTATGCAAATGTGTTACCCGTTACCCAGGGCTGGACTGGGACAAAAAATCGGCCCAGGCATTTCTTGGTCCAGGCGGCCCACCACCACTTCAATCATTCAAATAATCTGATATATATATATATATATATATATATATATATATATAATCCATATAATATATAAGATATAATCTGATAATATCTATATACATATATATTTTAAATGTTTTAGAAACAAGTCTCTTATTCAGGGCTTCATTTTTTTTATTTAAAAAAATGGTAAAAACAGTAATATTTTGAAATATTATTACAATTTAAAAGAACTTTTGTCTATTTGAATATATTTTAAAATGTAATTTATTCTTGTGATACAAAGCTGAATTTTTTAGCATCATTACTCCAGTCTTTAGTGTCAAAAATCATTCTAATATGCTGATTTGCTGAAAACAGTTTTGCTGCTTAATAATTATGAAAACTGTGGTAAACTATTTGGAAATGTGCATAATGGAGCGCGTCATTCCCATTATGTTTATTTGATCAAAAATATTGTCGCTTATTTGATAAAAAAAAAAAATCTGTAATATTGTGAAATATTATTGCAATTTTAAAGAAATATTTTCATTTTTTTTTAAACATAAAATATATTTTATATTTTAACATTTAATATTAAATATATGTAAATATATTAAACTATTTTAAAGTGTATTATTCAAATATTTGAATTATTTTCAATTTTTTTTATATATTTAATCTGTAATATATTTTAAACTGTCATTCAAAAGGGTGGGGTAGGTAAAATTGAAATTACACACACACACACACACACACACACACACACACACACACACACATACATACACACTTTTGTCCAGCAAGGATAGCTTTCAATTGATCAAAAGTGACATAATGTCAGCTTTATACACTACGTTTTAAAATATTTTAAAATAGAAACCGGTTATTTTAAAGTGTAATCATATTTCAGAATTGGATAGTTTTGCTGTATTTTTGATCAAATAAATGCCTGCCTTGGTAAACATAAGATACTACTTATGTTCTCTAAGAATGAAGCGCTCCATTACGCACATTTCCATATCAACACCTGCTCTTATTACCATGTACATCAGATTCTCATTTGAGTTTTCACGACAGGCATGAGAAGTGAGGTGAAAAGTGTGAACCAGACGTGGCGTCTCTCCCACCGTCCGTGTCCGGTATTGATGGTGGACGGACGTGAACTGTGATTAAATGTCAGAGAAAGCTGCAGGATTATTGGAGGTGAGGAGGTTTAGCCTAGAAGAATGTCAAGAGCATCATTGCCCTTTTAGTGTGTGTGAGTGGCCACATCACCCCGGCAGCCCTGGTTAATGACTTTACGCCGAGACAAGGGAAAAAGAGAGAGACAGAGAGGAAAGACGCAGGAAGGGTAATGACAGTGACTCAAAACTAATGAAAGGCTCTTCAAGTGTGTCACTAGTTGAGATGAAACCGAATCACAATACGAAGACTATACTTTACGACAGCTTTTTCTCGTAAAGGTCCTGAATGCTTTATATTGTGTCATCAACACTAAACCCTTGACCATGAAAAGTAGAGCTGTTGCTTTAATAGCATAGACTTATTTGTATAGCCACTTACTGATTATGCTTGAGTAGTAGGACAAAACTAGACATTCACCTGTGTTAGGATATAACATCCTGGATTATTACATTTTTCATAATGTGTATTTTTTCTTGCCGGTCACTCAATACGGGTCAGGTTGAAAAATAACTTCAAATATTAATTATAAAATCTAAATATCTGGCAGTGAATGAGAGAATTGAGAATACATGGTGGTTTGAAATGTATTTGCAGCTCCATCTATTGATCTGTCGTCAAAATCAGACAGAAAATCTTGCTGTCTTGACAAAATAAGTGTATTTTGCACATCAAACATCCATTAACTATTACCTATCAACAAAACAGATGAATTACACACTTCAACATTGTTTACCTTAATGGTTGGTGTCCCCTCTAGTGAGTATTTTCATTACAAAGCAATGATCTTCAATTAAAGGTCACAGTAACAGGACAATAACTCAAGGGACGCACAGAAAATCTTAGCTATCAGTGTTAAAACGACACACACACACACACACACACAAACACATAAACATGCTACTGAAAGAATGTAATTCAAAGCATTTGATTGCATGAGAAAAAAAAAAATCACTGATTTAGCATTTATTTTTGATTGCACTTCAGATGTTAAACATGTTCCTCAAGGGACATGCGGAAATCATGCTAGTGCAATAGAGAAAAGGAACACCCCTTGTGTCAGTATTTTGTTGAACCACCTTTCGCTTTAATTACAGCCTTTAGTTTGTTAGAATATGTCTCCTAACTTTGCACATCTAGACTTTGCAATATTCACTCACTCCTCTTTCCAGAACTGCTCAAGTTCAGTTAAATTTGATGGTGAGTGTTTGTGGACTGCAGTCTTCAAGTCATTCCACAGATTTTCAATGGGGGCTAACCCTCTGGGGTCTGAGGGGGTTTTGGAACCCTGGAGAAGTTTTGACATGCCCTGACATTTGTGCTTTTTTCAGTATCTTAAAAACATATTAATGGCTTAAGTCTGATTACACTGTAATCAGCACAAACTGTGCTACAATAATATGTAATCAGCATGTATGTGGGTCAAAGACAAAAAAGGGTTTAAGCATAAAAAAAATAAGTGCAAAACTGCTTTAAATAGTTGTTATCCTTTAATACCCCCCCCAAAAAAGTTTAATTTAATTGCAATTTTGTTTTTCTGAGCAAAAAATAAATATAATACATTCTTCCCTGATTTACAGAAGAGACCTACTAAAATGTCATTCAGTGTAACAATCTTGTCAGGCATATTTACAACAAAAAATCAATGTATGACATATGCAAAGACTAATTACTTTCACCCCAAATACTATTTAGTTTTTAAATTTTAAAAATGTGCCACTATCCTAGGTTTTGCCCATTTGTCAGAGTAAGACGTTTTTTACTCATTTAAAACACAATCAAATTTAATATGCTCGAAAAAACAACAACAAAATTACTAAAACATTACAATTAAAGTTAGCTCAGAAAAAAAATAGAAATTAAATAAATGCTCTCTCTTAAAATTCTGTTTAATTTAATTGCAATTTTGTTTTTCTGAGCAAAAAA